CTGGACCCAGTAGCCGTACCGAAACTGAAAAGGATAAAAATCCTGCCCAAGTGGAAGGTGCAATTGCTGGAACCGGTTCCAAGAAATTCGCCAGGAAGCGGAGAGCGGCCAAGCGGCCTGGTAAAAAAGAAAGAGCAACCTAAAGGAGGCTGGGCAAGACCACCTCGCCTAGAGGGGAGCATAAAAAGGTGAGACTCGAACAGCAATCCAAGGCTGCAAAGACCAGCTATGCTTCTGCAGTCAAAGCTGAATTGTGTGTGGCCCTAACGTGTGCGCTTACAGGTCACATCACAAAAGAAGTAGCTGACGTATCCTCGTATCTATCCAGAGGAAGATGATCAGTGAGACTTGGAGTAGCCAAGATCCTGCCTGGGCCCAGTCTTAAGAGGCAAAACCGTTTACACGGAAGGTGTCCTAAAGCGACGACCAAAAGGCTTTAATCCAACACCTCGCTGCTCATCAAGACGCAGTCGGAGATACCACAAAGGGCGAAATGAGGTATCCTCACCACAGACGCCCAGGGTGTCTGGAAAGACACACGCGACATTGGTCGTGTGCTCACGTACCAGAACCGCAGGGTAAATATAAAAGATTAGCTGCTACTCAAGGCTGACAAACAGACGAATGGATGGTTCCTCGTTGTTTCGGTGCCGGAGGATCATATCCCGACCCTGTTGAACGCCGGATGCTGCCTCGCATGTGTATGTGGGGCGGTATACGTAAGATTCCAGGGTCTTGGAGAAAAATTTTATGATACCCAGCAAAGAGGCGGTAAACAGCCCAAATGACGTGGACACTGGTGCTATGGACACCCAGGCAGCAGGATCACTGGACCCCAAGACCAGTGACAAAACGGACTGCACAACCGAGTCGAAGCCACCAGTGGAGATCGGACTCAGCAGCAGTTTACTGAGTGACGAGGAGGGTTGCACTTTGCCGTTCATCTCTAACTCGGTGGCTAACGATGCGACCCGAGATCTGCTGGCAGGCTTATTTTTGGGCTAGGACGGGGAGGACGCGGTCAATGATGGCGTGCTCTTCGTGCAAAACTATCCTTGTGCAGGCCAACCTCCACCACAGCGAAACTGCGTCGGCTCAATTACGCAAGTGGTTGGAGGCTCAACGGACGGCCATAGCCTTAATCTAAGAGCCGTGGGTTGGGGCCGGTAAAATCAAGGGCCTAATCAACCTAAAAGGTAAGTTATTCTATTTCAACTAAATTCAACTCTGAGCACGACAAGCCAAAAGCGTGTATTTATACTACTAAAGATATCTGTGTATTCCAAAACACATAGGAGGAAAGAATAGACGTCGCCTCGGTCTACAAGCCGGAGCAAGACACTCCTCCACCTCACGACCTCGTCAGGCTGGTGCATTTCTGTGAGAGGACCGGACTAGTTTGTGATCGGGACGGACACCAACGCGCATCACCCCCTCTGGGGAATGAAAAAACTCAATGACTCGTTCATTTATACTCGTAAGGTTTTAGTTGAATATCTATTTAGCACTAACCTAACCATTTTAAACACAGGTTCTGAACCAACTTTCATAAACAAACGTTGTCGCACAATAAACGACCTCACACTTGCAACAGAAATAGCAGCTAAACTAATTACGGGATTAAATAGGTGGATCTGCTGCGTACTACAGGTCCATATCCCATGGAGAAACTCCCGCAAGACGGATAAAACAAAATACCTTAATAGGCTGTCGTCTTCGCTCGCGAGTTTGGAGGGGACAAATACTATAGCAGATCAGTCGCTCCTAGAAGAATAGGTAGCAGCTGTTACTGTTATGATGGATAGCTACCATGAATTATGTCCAGAAACCACTCCACCAAGACATGCTGAGGTAAAGCAACCGTGGTGGGGTAAAGAACTAGATAGAAAACGTAAGAAGGTAAGAAAAGCCCTAAATAGGGCCATGAATATCTCAATGGATGAAGACTGGCTATACAAGATAGCCAAGTTCAAATACAAAAAATGTATCAGGTATCGAAGTTCGCCAGGGTGGCGTAAATTATGTGGTAACATAGAAACCTGCGTACAAGCGAATCGGATAAGTAAAATTCTAGCTAAACAGAACACGCCGGATGAAACCCAACGCATCCTAATTGATACGCACTTCCCAGGTTGCTGCGTAACTCAGGAGGTAAACCGGCATAAAGATGCACTGACACCAACAGCATAAGACTGGAATTTAGCACAGAGAGTGGTAACGATGGACAAAATCCATTGGGCCATTCTCAGTTTTCTCCCCTAAAAGGCGCCAGGACCTGACAAATATTCCCGGCACTCTTACAGTGGGAGGGGTAAAGCCCTAATAGTCAGACTTGTTGCCATAATGCGAGCCTGTTTAGCTCTTAAATATTTCCTAGGGGATAGACGGAAGTGAAAGTCACAATCATACTCAAACCAGGTAATAGCAACTATACAGACCCTAAATCCTACAGATCCATTAGCCTTACATCCTTTCTTTTAAACACAATGGACAGGATGTGTGAATGGGAATTAAGGAGGTCGGCGCTAATGAACTTACCGCTACACCACAAACAACACGCCTTCAGCTTAGGTAAATCGACAGAATCGGCACTTCACTAGGTAATAACAAAGATTGAAGAGGTCATACAAAACACAGTAATATGTCTAGGTTCCTTCATATATATAGGAGGTGCTTTTGACAGAACGAATTTCTCCAGCATAAAAAGTGCACTCAGTAGACATAAAGTTGAACCGGCACTGATTGACTGAATAGTAAACATGCTCAGTACACGAACAATAAAGATTGCTGGTGGATCTCAAACAAACCAGATTAAGATAGGCTGCCCGCAGGGTGGAGTTCTTTCACCTTTCCTGTGGAATATGGTCATTAATGAACTCATCAGCAAATTAAATGCCAATCACTTCTACACAGTAGGTTATGCTGATGACCTGACAATACTGGTCTCTGGAAAGACAGCAAGCATGGTGTGCGACCTGACCCAAGCGGCTCTCCGTATAGTGGAGAGATGGTGCAGGGAATACGACTTAACCGTCAATCTAAATTACGGTTTTAGTAATGTTCACACAAAAACGAATGCTGAATAACTATCATCTCCCAAGTCTTTTCAGCACAAAACTCCCGCTAACCTCCGAGGTAAAATATTTAGGTCTTACATTGGACAGTAAACTCAACTGGAATAAACTCATAGAAAACAAAATCATCAAAGCTAGTATAACTTTCTGGCAATGCAGAAACATGATTGGCAAAAGATGGGGTCTGATGCCAAAAATCCACCCATGATCACATACGGCACTCTGGTATGGTGGACCAAATCAAATAAAGCCACCACTATAAAGAAACTTCAGCGTTACCAGAGACGCCTTAGAGGCGATGCTGTAGCTAACCCCGCTTCATGTACACATACAACAAGAAGCGACTTTAGCTGCCATTAGAGTCATGACCCTAAATCTTTGAAGTAAGAATAGAGTCCCACATACAGGCATAATTGATAGAATTCACTCAAAAATTCTTATCTGATTCGATAAGAAGTATAAGATACAATTAAATGAAACCAGCCAGCCGAAGGGATTAGGCCTAAAAGAGCTTAAAGTTTTAAAACAAATGAAGGTGTAGGATCTGGAACTTTTTCTGAAGACCTCAACATTCACATATGCACACCACTGGGTACCTATAACACAGTCTTTCAGGCGGAATATATGGATATCATTCAAGCCGCCATAGCAATTGATGCTATGAAGGTTAATGACTTCTCCATCAGAATACTGACAGTAGGGCGGTATTACAAGCTCTGAGTTGCAATGTTGTGAACTCGGGATTTATAAATGAATGCAATCAACGATTAAATGAGGTACGTAAACACAACAATGTGACGCTGCAATGGATAAAGGGACACAGTGGATCCAGAGGCAACGATGCAGCAGACGAACTGGCCAGAAGAGGATCAGCTCTGGCCACTATAGGGCCGGAACCAATCATTTCAACCCCCTTTGGTAACGTTCGTTCACTGATACGTAGACACTTCAATTATCAACACGCTCAACTTTGGAAAAATCTAGTAGACTGTAGACAAGCTAGTGAGGCCCTGCCTGAAATAAACAATCGTTTAACCAAGGTTGTAATGAGACTGAACAAGCCGCAGATCGGGATAGTAACAAGTGTTATCCACAGGACACGGCACCTTTAGTTAAAAAGTTAAAGTTACAGCCTATATACGTCCCCCTACTGGGCACAGGCCTCCCTTTATTTCTGAGAGGGTTTAGGGCAAGCAAATGTCCGCCACGCTGCCCAAATACGTGTTGGCGAACTACACATGTTTTCGAATTTTTTTCTTATTTCTCAGACATGCAGGTTTCCTCACGATGTTTTCCTTCATCGCCGAGCACGTGGTGAAACAGCACTTAAAATTGCAATTAACAATTTTATTGGAGGTCTTTAACAAACATTTACTTACCATTGGTGTTACAGATAGTCCCCTGTACAGCGCATGTATGGGGGAGCAAGAAACGGCGTCGGGTCCCAAAAATACCTTTTTCTCCTGACTTCAAACAGGAGGAGGTACTCAATACGACTGTATGTTTTTTTATGTGTGTTACCTCATAACCTTTTTCTGGGTGAACCGATTTCGATAATTCTATTTTTATTTGAAAGTTGGTCCTTCACATGTGGTCCCATATCAATTTGATCAAGGTCTGACCAATAGTTTTTGAGTTATTCTTAATATTAAATGAAACTAATTTTTACGGATTTTATCGCGTTTAATTTAACTATTTAATTCCTTTCAATTTTTTGATTTAACTTTTTTTTTTAAAGTCGGGAATTAAAAAGTTAAATTAAACGCGATAAAATCCGTAAAAATTAGTTTCATTTAATGTGTAAATATAAGAAATCATTATTCTTACTAATTTATATTGAAGTCGGTTGTACAAAATTTTATAATTATTTTCACTTTCCTTTCTTTTTTGAGTTCACTTTATTGACATATAGTAAAATATACTTACGAATAAGGAGTAATCTCTAACAGATTATTGCATTTTTGAACATGCAATAGTTCACCAAAATACGCCAAGATATTTAGGTATCTTTCGTCCCTTGGCGCCAAAGAGAAATTGTGAGTTTCCATATGAGTGTTGACACGATACGTCTCCGCCGGCGATATAATGTACGAGTACAATAATTGATCAGGCCGTGACAATTGTTCAAACAATCGATCATTTTTAAATTCCTCGTATAATTCTTCAATTTTCTGCGGTATTAAGCGAAACTCGAAGTTTTTCCTTAAAGCTTGTAGTTCAATTTGTAAGAGAAATGTCGGTTGAGTGCGAAGTATAATGAAGCAAATAAATTTCAACCCAATTGCATTGCACATGCCCATCGTGTTGACAATCCATGGCATGTTACTTAACCGCTCGTCGTTAGAGCAGCGGGTAATAAGAGAATCTACTGCGGATATGTACCGCCTTGTATTATCCATTGTGCTAATCATACCAACATTTAACATTCTGAAAGAGATATAAAACTGATCTTATTAGAAATTCAATCTCGTCCTCGTTCTTACACTGTAGGAAAATATATTTATAATATATAGGAATTAATGTTTGTTTGTTTGTTCGTATTTTATGCGCTGCCATACCATTCATTAGATTGCGTTAAAACTTCGTTAACTTATTGCTTGTATGTACTTGTTCGAAGTTTATAGGCATAGTACAATTAACTTACATTTAGATGTTTTATACCATTCAATTTCAATTAATGTATTATCATTCCTAATTAAACAATATAAGTGTTCCAAATTTAAAACAATATTTCCACAATTATTTCTTCAGCAGCGGCAGCGCGCTGTGTAACACGTAGTATATTATAAAACTAAGTGACAAACGAACTTTCGTAATAGCTTGTGCAGGCCATAGAAACCTGTAGCAAACTCCAAAATTCAAAGAAGCCTGCACATACGTTGTTATGTGTGAAGACTAAGATGGCATATCTCCAATGCCTGTAATAAGGAATTAACTAGTATAGTACTAAACGTCTTGCGTCTTTGACGCTGTTCCACGTCGCTAGCCTGGTCGCCATCTATTACAAGCCATAACTTCTTTTGGGTATATATAATAGCCATCTTATTTAAAGTCGGCTGCAAGTAGGGTTGCCACCTTTTTGTGAACAAATATAGTATTTTTTCCAAAAAAGATACAAAAATATATTACTTTTGGGAAATTCAGGAATAAAGTACACATTTTTTAAGCTTTATGTATTTTTCCTTATCCATATTTGTTATTGCTCTTTGCTTTGGCCATCAATGATCTATTGATGACCTTTAAAATAATTATAGGTATCTAGGCAATTTAGATTCATATTAAAATAAATTACAATTAATTTTAATTCCATTAATACATGCTCTATTTCTTTCTTCTTTCCGTTTTTCATTGATGACGAAAAAAATTCCTTCCATAAAATTTACGTGTCAGAGTTTCAGTCCCAGTTCTTATAAAAAAGCCCGACAATGGAATCAGGGCTAAAATATAATATTTTTCGTACTATATTATTTTTCTATAATGTATAGTACAATTTGCTGAAATATAGTACGATACTCTATATTATAATACGGGTGGCAACCCTAGCTGCAGGTATCCGTGGACTGCAGTAGCCATTTACCTCTTACCTCTATTAAGAGACGGAATTTATATGTATTTCATACAAAAATATCTATTGCATTTTTTAAACACAAAGAATTTGTAAAAGAAAATCTAGATTCTTAAATACACTGCTGTATAACTGTTCAAGTCTGGAGAATCAGTAGTTTTTATTTTATTTTATATATGGTGTAAATGTAATTGTCATCTCATTTAAGGAATGCCTCATTACCAGGAAAAAAGGTCTCTTGTTCCTTCACTTACCATACAACACACTGCAGCATTGTGCTACTATTAAGGTAATTAGTGTTAATTTGATCCTTCTCCAGCCTAGCCAACCCATTCACGATGGAACCATAATAAAGTAGCAGTGCAGTTCTACTACAAAAAAAATTAAATTGTTTCTTATGAATTATTTTAGACAGATTCTTTTAAGAGTACTATTAATAAGTATTTTTTTCTATAGGATAGGGTGACAAACGAGCACACAGTCCACCTGACAGTAAGTAGTTGCTCTGACCCATAGACATCTAAGAGTACATCTATCCTAATTAAAAAATCAGAATGCAGATGCGTCATCACCTGTGAGGACTAAGATGGAATGCCTCTTTTCCAGTAAAATGGGTCTCCAGTTCTGTACACTCACCATACGAAACACAGCAGTGTCAAGCTGCCATTTTAGGCTGGTATTCTGTGAGAGCGTGGTCCTTCCCCAGTCGAGCCGACCCATTCATGCTACAACTATACTACTAATGTAGCTACATCATGGCTCTACCACATATAAGTGTATAATGCAACAAACACTATATTGATCGACATTTGTGAAGAAACTGTTAAAAGTGGAAAATGCATTAGTGCTATTGAGATGATGTTAAATTATACATATGATAAAATTACATTTCTGGTTTCTTCAAATGTGTAAAGTTGGGTCCAAGAAGTGGTTCTTTGACAATAGTAGCAGATATGTTACCGGCTACTGTAAATTCACACTGCCCGGGATCCAAGTCAACCACAAGTACAGGTCCTCGACTAAGCAACTGGTTCACATAGTAACGGAGGAATGTTGACTTGCCTGCTCCTTTACCACCACAAACTATTCCTCTACTTCGGTCATCTGAATGTAACAAATGAAAATGGTGTAATTTATTAGTGATAAAAATATAGCTTGCATATCACAAACAATTAATGTTTTTTTTGGGCCTCCACCATACAACTGTTTCCAATACAGCCATCCTTACAGCCTATCAAAACTCCACTGCTGAACATGAGACTCTCCTATAGATTGCCCATATTAGGGGAATATATGCATAGCAATATATAGAATATATGCATAGCAGCACCCTTAGCAGGCAGGTGGATTGATAATTACAGTTTTTATTATATTTTGTTGTTATTAGGAATATGCTGCTGCCCAACTTCTGGTTTATTTCACTGTGTCACCTATTACAAAACCCATGCAATAATGTGGGCTAGTGAATATATTTAAACCACTATTACTTGATTATTGTTAGCCTTAGATTCGTCAAAAACAAAAAAAATCATGTCATAGAAAAAATATTATGATTTAAAATAAACAAAGGTAATAACTTCGAATTGTTTCTGACTATGAAGTTTGTTCAGAGTTAACAAATGGACAAAGTTACATAGATTGAGAGGAAATTGCATAAATTTCCAAGTTACCTAAGCTAGTAAAGAACTAATACATGGCTAATATATCACATAACCCGAAAATATGAGATAAGAGTAAGAAATATGTAAGAAGAAATAGGCGCATTAATTTTTTTGCTATTGTTTGCAATGCTCACATGGGCTATGTACAAAAGACTGCCTTATTGATCTCATGGCAGTCAGACTAAAATCAGTTATTAGGTTTTTCTGTCGTGTGAAGTAAATGGTATTTTAATCCTATGCCTCGGAAAGAATATAAGGCTGTTAGTCCTGTGGGTGATATCTACCCAGTGGTAGCCCTTTGGACTATGAGAGTGAGGAAATATGAGTGTGCACTTGTCCTTCAGCTTGTGCACCAGGGGCGTAGCTACAGCCGTATCAATGATACGGGGCCCCCGGGCTACAGAGGCCCCAAACGTATGTAAGCAAAAATTCTAAAGACTTCTATGGGACAGGATGTTGGTTTGAATTGTTTGGCTAGCTTAGTTCCTAGGAGTATTAATTGTAAGTAATAACTTATAATAAATATATAATTATTTTAATTCAATGTAAGACGTTTTGTTCCTTTTGTGAAAAATCTTTACCCTTCATTTGGGCCCCCCGACCAATTTTGATACGGGGCCCCTCTAAGGCACGCTACTCCACTGTTGTGCACTATAATCTTTTTCTACACAGATGCTAGATTCTTTTGAGAGTGGCTGCTGTGACAGAAATTCAATCTGGTGTACATTTTTAATTATAATTAAAGTAATTTTAAACTAAGTTATCAACTAATGTAAATGTGACACTGTGTAAACTTTTTTAAAAAGTATTTAGCAATAATCTCGACTTACTAAATCCAAAACTAACAGCTTGCTGCCAATTTGGGCTCTCTTCGAGGTGCTTATAAGGTTGAGATGAATATAAAGAACAGCATAGATCTTCTGATGCCCTCTTTAAACGATCTTCAATATTCTCATTCGATCGACTAAATAAATTGGTGACATTGAAATTATTTTCCACAAAGTCCATTTTTATACTTTGCAGTTTTTCTAAAGCTACTATTACATCATAACTGCCAAGCGTAGTAACAATTCCTTCTGCTTCGGCAACAGATAATCCATTTGTGGTCAATTTGTTGAAGAGACCATAGTAATCATTATTAGACTCCACAGTCCTTATACACTGAGCAAAATTATGAAATGGTGCATACACTTCACATGGCTTATCTTGTAAATTATAGCCATATATTTGTGCAGTTCCTCCTAACCTTTTTATGATTACTTTGCCATGAATAAAAAGATTTGAGGGATGTCTTAAAACAACAATGTAGCAGTTTTCTCCACAAAATATTTGGAGATTTTCTGTTGAGTTTCCATCGCTTTCACTTAAATTGTCCATTTCAGTGATTTCTTCAGACTCAATAGTGTCATTGTTGATAGTAAAACTTTCATTATGAGGCTGAGAGCTGTTATCTGAATCTGTTAAATCTATTTCAATATCATTAACATTTATTTCCGTTCCTAATTCTGGATCTAAACTATTTACTTCATCTTTGTCTGCCTCTAAATTAATATCTTCAACTTTCCAATCATTCGTTGAATTAAAATTAGATAATGTAATATTGGATTGATCTGAAGTAATATTTTTAATAGTTGCATATCTATATTGACCAATAATGTCATTAAGATTCTGACTACTTACATTTTTGGCTTTTATGGATACAAATGGTGGTGATGGTATAATAGAATCCAAAGCATTATTTCTGTGAAATAAAATGTTTTCATTTTTCATTAAATCTTGATCTGAAATTACAACCCCTGTAATTCTTTCTGAAATATGACTAACTTTTTTTGATCTTTTTGTTTGTACTACATGCTTATCTTTTGCACTTGGCAAGTGTTCGTCCCCTGATCCTTGCTCGTCTCCAGTAACATTGGTATTTTCCATATACTTTCTTTTTGATTTATCTTTAGGCTCGTTTTTTATATTTTTTAGCCTTTCGTGAATTTTAGAAGCTAAAGCCCCATCAACATCAAATAAACTTGACTTACTGGACTCAGATTCATCTGATGAGCAAAGGCTTAAAAGATCTCCACTCAAAAGCAAAGATGTATCTTCTTCAAGTGCGTCAGATGATGCCTCTTTTTCATTTTTGCCGTCGGAAATTAAATCATCAACAGCTGTTAATTCACTACTGTCTTTATTTAATGAAATCTCTTCTACAAGAGAAATTTTAGAAGATGAATCGGCACCATCTTCTGTTAAATTAGACAATGAATCAAGATCACTACTGTCTAATGTAGCTTTAGTAGTTCCATTATCCGAACTAGTAAGATCTAAATCGGAAAAGCTGCTAACCGAAGCAGAATCATAATCGTCTATAACATTTTCTGATTTCCTTATAAGTTCATTATCACTTTTCTTATATCCATACAACATTTGCTTAAGTTGTTTTTTTATTTTATCTTCTGTTTTGGTCTCTTTTTTGGGAACATATTTATTTTTTACAGCATGCGCCTTTTCGAAAAACTCCATCTTAAAATGATTTGATCCAAAATGATATTTCAAAGAGTAGAAAGTGATATGAATAAATTAGCATTAAATCATCAAAACAACTATACTTATTTTAACGTATTTTATACTGAAAACTAAAAGCAAGCAAGCAGGCATTAAAACTTCATAGAGTTATTTGTTGATCTGTCAATGTCAAATGTCTTTTTTTATGGAGTTTATAGCCTGGTATCCAGACCTTTAGGCCAATGTCAAATGTCAATTATCAGCAGTGCTGCCAACAACTTGGAACCTGATATCGCCATTTTTCACAGATTTAGTAGCCTAATATAGCCGAATTTGAGCTGAGGTAGCCTAAAGTAATCCAAACGTCAAAAATTCGTTATGAATAAATAAAAACATAATTTTTAATAATTTTTTTGTTCATAAGATGTACATAGAGTATCAAATTTAAAATAATCAACAATGATCATCTGCTACTAGCAGAAACAAAGCATCAGAAAGACATTCACCGTCATAATTTTCTGTAGCAGCTGTGCTGGTGCTGGCGTAAGCTTCGCGGGGACGGGAAACGTACATTTTTCTCCCAGGTTACAGGCTAAGTTAGAAGGCCTACTCCTTAACGCTTTGTCCGTGTATTCTGATCTACCCGTTTCTTTCACGAACGTCTGCAGATGAGTGAGAGTGAGCCTTAGTTTTGGAGTATTCCCCGAAATTAACAGTGCCGCCAGTTTTTTTTTATTTTACTTTGTAAATTTTGCATAAGAGGTATTTTTTACGCTTATTTTGACTTCTGTTGTGATTCAGTCTAATTGACGGTCGATCGTTCGTCTCTCAAGTAGTCTATTTGGCGACCATTCGCCTTTCAGAATTTTTCGTAGCCGATTTCCATAGCGAGTGGCGTAATTGGCGGAAAATCGCCTACGTTGGCAACACTGATTATCAGGTTGCCATATTTTTTTATCTGGCTTTACGGCTCTGGGTTCTAGCCTTTCTGAGCCCGAAGTTCCAAATAATTATCCTTCTTAGTACACTGCTTCACAGTATGTTGATGCGTCATATTGTGTAGCCCTTGGAAGATTTTGACGGCAACTTGAGCCAGCAAATAGCTGAAAGTTGACGATGGTATCTCAAGGCGTCATTATTCACTTCGTTCCTACTCGCGGCCATCCGCAGCCCGCTATTCGGTATCTCCATCTTTTAATAATCGAAACATTTCATACAAAATTCATTTAGTAAGTAAGTACATGCTAACTACCTATAAAATGAAATAAGTATAATACTGATAATGATGTAAAATGATAGCTACACTTAAGTACCTATTCTTATCTGTTTATTTTGTCTCCACGTATTTCTGCACTGGAATAATTAGCATTATTTCTGTAAAATTCGTACACCATAAATCATCAATCTTCGGAAGATTGTCAGATTGAGCATTAACAAATCCGGATTGCATGTTATTTTAAAATTACCTTAATAATATAAATAACTATAATAGTCTGTCCTACGATTATCTTGAGAACGGTTTTGAATTTTCAAATTCTGTTTTCAGCAATCGATTACTGATCACCCAGGCATCTGAACCTCCTATTTTGAAACTGATTGCTCAACGGCAACCGTTAGATACCGCTACAAAGCTGATTGCTTTGCCACTTTGCTATGCTGTTAGCTTGCTAGGTTTATTATGATTGAATGCGGTAAGAATGAGTGTTCAGTTCAATGCGAGCAGAGAGAGAGAGAGTGAATGATGACGTCATCGCTCGTGATGGCTGGTGGGCGCCAAATTTTAAATTAAGCGTTTAGAAAACTTGGTAATAATTTCTTGACAGATTTGTGTCATTTAAAAACTATGATCATCTACAAAGCATAATATACGTAACTAAATAGGTTAAAGTCCAGCATTATGTTATGTGCGGAAAGCTTAATACTTTCTACCGAAAGTTTACAGAGAAAAAGATCTTTATCCATAAAACCTTCTATGACGTGTTGTTAAGGCCTACGGCTGCCCCTGCAAAAGTAGGCTATCCCGGGGCCCAAGCAGGAATTCTATGGGCAGACGCAGGTCGGGCCTCCAAAGTGGCCACGTGGAAATATCCTATCACAATGAAGGGGAAGGCTAGTTAACGGGAAGGTACTTACCCGCTTCGGGAGCGGAGACTGTTCACCAGAATCTGCCCGGCTGATGAAAGTGTAGTGAGTGTAGGTGGTATTTGTGTGTGTCTGGGTGTAGGTGGCCTGGGCTAGATGACACGATGCTGTCCTGGAGGAGGTATTCTCCTGTGGAGCCCCCGGAACAGTTCCCTTCTTGAAAGCACTAGTTCAGTCTATTCACGTAATTGTACAGTCAAAAAAAGAACTTCAAACGAAATCACTATATAATTTGCACAATTACTTTAAACAAAGTTAATAAATCCGTAAAGAACAACACGTGGTTCCGCCGACGACAGAGGTACTAGCTCGACTCCGTTCGTGACGTGACAAAAATTAAGTAAGAAACAAGAAGCGTCCGTTCCGATCGCAAAAATTTTACACTCAACGCCGAGACGTGTCTAGTCGACCGGCCCGAAAGGAATGTCGGCGCGGGGGGGATGTGACCTCGATACTGTGCGAAGCTATTAGCGAGTGATTATAACACAATTCTCAAAATATTTAATATTGGCCTAAACACGTATACTTTGTTCAAGAAATTCTTCCATAATATTGATGCATCACGTTGCAGTAAGTGGAGTTTAACAAAGTACCCAGCCAACAAAAAAAATTTAGATTGCTACTAGTTATTGCAAGCTAGTGATACCGTTCTCTCGACTCCACAGAGTCAGTAATTCATTCTTGGGGCAATGTATACGCTATTGCAACAAAGTCCCAGAAAATATTCAAGGTATCTCTATTACCAAGTTTAAATATTTAATTAGACAAAAGCTGTGTAAAAAGGGTTATTATAATATAAATAAATATATGGTTGATAATAACCCCTGGGAATGCGGTGGTCGATTCCAAGCTGTTTCTAAAATAAATTGTGTAAATAGTTTGTAATCATTTGTATTGTAAAATTTATTTTAAAAATAATTCCGACTAGGTTTCTTGCTGGTTCTTCCCAGGACAGAGGATTTTTTTCGAACCAGTGGTAAAATAAAAAATTACTTTCAATAAGATTTTGATTAGTTGTAATCAATATTGAATAAAAAATTATCTATTCGTATCACCATTGAAGAACTTGTTAAGTATACACAACGTCCCGTAGGGACTGCTTAGGTGGCGCGGACTGCACACTTTTGTTTTCATAACTCTTATTGTTGCCTCTAATAGTTTGATCTGCTCACCAATATCAATCTTTGAGTACGGCCAAATAAAATGTGATTACTAAGTTTAATAATTACGTTTGTGAATATTTCAATAACACATCAAAGGTAACATAAGGTAAAATTCGATCTCTGAATAGTAAGACACGCGCTTCAAGCAAATGTTAAATTATTAAAATCATCTTAATCTACCAATTCAAAGTTAGAACTCAACAGAGAAATGCCGCAAACAAAATTTGGATTGATGTGTTATTATGTGCTACGTACCTAAGTACATTGTACTTTAATGGTTAAAACCATGTTTGTTAACGTTGCGCATATTAACTGCCATGTCTAGAAAAATATGTCTCTGTATTACAGCGGCTCTTCACGTTGGCCAACACACTGGCGAATGTGTTGGCCAACAACGATGGCCATCGTGTAGAGCGGGTGTTAAGCTACGTTGGTACGTATTGGAACGATGGCCCACAAGTCGGCGCAAGACGGCGGCTCTTCACGTTGGCCAACACACTGGCGAATGTGTTGGCCAACAACGATGGCCATTGTGTAGAGCGGGTGTTTAAGCTACGTTGGTACGTATTGGAACGATGGCCCACAAGTTGGCGCGAGATCCGTCTGGTGTCGGTTTTTTACAAAAGATCATAGGGTTGTGGAAGAGTATTGGCCGCCGCGTCCACACGTTCAGTTTGCTACGAGCTCCCAGAGTGATCGCACGCATCTGATTTTAATTTTATATGTACGCATCGTAACTAGTGTCTCATAATGGCAGAAATAATGACCGATGAAGAACTTTTCGCTTTATAGAGCCCTACCAAGCCAAAAATTGTTTATGAAACACGTCTTTCAAGTCTTTTTTTTAAAAAAAAAACGTTACCCCCACACTAGGAGTTTCTCCTGTATCGTGGAGGCAGTTTACAAACATAAATTATTATTAATAGTACAATTTTTTTTTATAGGATAGGGTGACAAACGAGCACAGTCCACCTGATGGTAAGTGGTTGCTATGGCCCATAGACATCTACATCTGTCCTCGCTTGCGAATCAAAATGCAGATGCGTTGTCACCCGTGAGGACTAAGATGGAATGCTTCTTTTCCAGTAAAAAGGGTCTCCGGTTCTCTACACTCATCATACGAAACACAGCAGCGTTAAGCTGCTATTTTACGCTGGTATTCTGTGAGAGCGTGGTCCTTCCTCGGTCGAGCTGACCCATTCGTGCTACAACTACACTACTAATATAGCTGCAGCATGGCTCTACCACGTATAAAAATTATTATTAATAGTAATTAATTATCATTTCTTTTTATTCTATATTGCTACACCTACTTCAAATTCTCACCACTCCGCCAGTCCGCCCTTTGTATTATTTTAGATTAAGGAATGCAATTAAGAATAAATAAATAGAAATAAAAATAAATAAAATAAATTGCATAAGGACAAACATCCAGATCCGGAGCAATTATTTGCAGGCCATACAAATACTTGTTCCGTGCGGGATACGAACCCGCGGCCCCTAGGGCAGCAACTCATTGCTAAGCCACTACGCCACGGAGCCGTCAAGAAATAAAATTTCTTTTTGATCACCCTTTTCTTATACACATTCACGTTGTAGTGATTGATGTATTAATTTATTTATTGATGTATTAATGCTATGAGACTAGGTAGGATACTAAAATCAAATTAAAAGGTAGGATACTAAAATCATGTTTTTACTGTCTTTATTAAT